TGCCTCTCTGCAGCAAGCGTTACTGCCCTGAATTAATTATACCAATATTTACCTCAGTGTCAATTTTCTGGAGTTTTAGGCTAGCTGGGAACCCAGCCAGCTTCTACCCAAGCCTCCTGGATCATTAAATCAGCAGGGTTTCCTCAAAGAGCATGCTCTTCAGTGTCTTCCTCCCAGCCCTGCACGGGGCTGTTCTGTGCCAGCAGCAGCAAATGTGCTGCTGGGGATTGCTCTGTGCCAGCCACACTCTCTCAGGCCTGCTTGGCTTGGATGCTTTTTATTGGAAATAAGCACCAGGGGTATGAGAAAAGAATGTAAACAGTACCTTTAAGTACCTAATAATACATGGTGGCTCATGGCTGGATGCAGTTCAGCAACAAAGCTCTATTTATAGTGACTCAGTGACCCAGAAATTTATTGTCTTCTGGCTGCTCGGGGGAGAGTAGAATTGTGCTCCAGCAGGGTCATCAGTCAGGGATTTGTCTTTCTATTCTCGTTTCTTTGCTGAAATGACTGATGCAAGATGCTGGTAATGACACCCACATCCTCAGCAGTGTCTCTGCAGCAGCTCTGATGCTGCTCCAACCCAGAGCTCCTGGATGCTCCATTGAGTGGTGAAATAAAGGGTGCAGATCTACCAGAGAAGGGCTCAGTGGCAGAGTGGGGTGTCCTGGCCCTCTCACATACTCACTAATCCCATGGCTCTCTTGTCTACCAAGAAAGTTGTGCTCAGGATGCAGCAAGCCTCCCCAAACTGCTGCTTCCTGCCCCAAAGCACCTTCATTTTGATGTCAGCACCTGCAGCCTCTCCCCTGCAACACAGGCCCAGCTTTAGGAATTTGCTGCACAGAGAAGTTCACTTCTGTCTCTGGCCCTGTGGGCTCCTCTGTCAGCTAAAGCTGCTTCACTATGAGTGAAAATGAACTCCCTGCCACGAGTCCTGCAGGAATCTCCTTCCACTGCAGCAAGTGCCTGCCTGGAGTGAGGAGCAGCCTCTGCTGCCACTGCCACCAGCACCTCCTGCCTCAGTCCATAGCAGAGGTTGATCTCACCTGTCACAGGTGAAGGGTCTGTCCCTCTGTCTCAGGCTGGAGTTGCAGAAGTTGGGCTCATCCCAATGATCCTATTAATGCACCAGGATTAGAGCAATGTTGCTGATCCCAGCCACACTTCTCTCCTAGGAAAAGAAGCAAATAGTTGGGCTCAGCTAAGGCACCTGGAGCAGTAACTCACATTTACTGGGGAGTGGGACAGGCTGGGAGCTCAGGCAGGGGAACTCCCACATGTCCTATCACACCTTGGCTCCAAAACCACTCCATTATCTCCCCAACATCCTGGGCAGAGGGAGCTGGTGTCTCCTGGCCAGTGTGACCAGAGAGGCTGAAACAGAAGCTGTGCTAGGGGGTCCCAGTCTGAGCAGAAACTCCAGAAAAACTTCTAATGGGTGTCCTGGGAGCAAAACCCTCCTAACTACATCTGAGATGGAGCTTGCCACATCCTAGAGGGAAGACAGAAAGTCAGCATTTCATCAGAGTGATGAAAACCTTGTGTGTCCCACGGGGGTGGGAGCTGTCCCCTAAACTCCCAGCTTGGCTGCTCTGCAAGGAATCCCGTTTATCTTCCTGACCCTATTGGCACGGTTCCCCCGGTTATCCCTCCCCTCTACTATCTGATCTTGCACATCTCGTCCCGAATTAATGAAGTGATAACACAGCTATCATGTAATTAATGGGGCTGTTGCAACGCCCGGTGCTCAGGGATCCAGGGCTCTCCTCTCCCGCGTTTCCTCACTGAAGTTCGTGCTGGCACTTGCACTCTCCTGCCTTTTCCCCAAGCGTTTTCCCTCTCCTTGCTATCTCTGCTTGCCTTCCAAAAGCCTCCTTAATCATTTCAAGAGAAAAGAAATGTTTGAAGCACGAACACATGGTTTGATTTCTCAGTCGTTTCTGAACAATTTGACCTCGAGGGTGCAAGTGGGAGCAGCACTTCTCTTTTCATGGCTGGAATGGGAATTGGCCTGGATTTGGCTCTAAGCACCTATGGAAAACAAATACATTCGGCTGAGAACTGCTGCTAATGGGAGCATCAACTTGTCTCATGGAAGCCTTAGTGAAAATCAAGATGAATCTCCGGTATTTAAGGGAATAGAGACCTCACATTAGGCATGAATTGTGTTTCCCTCTGGAATAGGAGAGGGTGTGTTCCAGAGAAATGACAACATCCCAGTGATTTTCAGCCCTGTTACTATAAACTGTGATCCCAGGGGACCCAAGCACCGATTTTGCAGTTTACCTGGTGCTGCTGAGTGGAGGAGACTCCAGCTGTCGATGCCAAATTCCAGGGGTGGGGTCTGGGTCAGCATGGAGCTGGAAGATGAAAGGAAAGGATTGTCAGGCTGAGATAAAAGTCACCCTGGTGCTTTGCCAAATGGCACTTCAGCAGATGGCTCCAAGCCCCAAAGAGCTGCCTGGCAGGTAAATGCAGCACCACAATCCCACTTTCATAAGCAAGAACCGTTTTCACTAGAGAGGCCATGCTTCCTAGTGATACCCCTTCCCTGAGCTTGCAGAGTCATGTGAAAAAGGCAAGCTGGGAACCCACAGAGGGTAATTAAATTAGTTCAGATTTCCCTCCCCTGTGCTGCAGGGTGGAGTAGGCCTGGCCCAGCAGACAGGTCCAGGCTCTGGGCACTCACTGCTCCTCCCCAGCTCCCACATTTTGCCCATCAGCATCTCCTCTCTCCAAAGCACTGGCACCTTCAGCCAGTCCAGCAAGAGGCTGAGACCCAGCACCATCCCCTGTACCCCAGCACCATCCCCTGTACCCCAGCACCATCCCCTCCTCCCCAGCACCATCCCCTGTACCCCAGCACCATTCCCTCCTCCCCAGCACCATTCCCTCCTCCCCAGCACCATCCCCTCTTCCCCAGCACTATCCCCTCCTCTCCATCACCATCCCCTCCTCTCAGCATCATCCCCTCTTCCCCAACACCATTCCCTCCTCCCCAGCACCATCCCCACTTCCCCAGTCTAATCAAAGTCCATCAAAGAAGGAATTTTGCAGAGTTGGAAATCAGAGCAGAACAATTCCTCTGTGTTCATTTGCCAGGTGTGTTTAGAGGAGGTTTATGAGCTCATGTAATTACCAGTGTCCAGAACACCTCCCCTCCCCAGGCCAGGTGGCTTCACACCTGACACCACAGGATGTCACCTCAGTCCTGCCTGTTCCCACCTCCTGATGTCCTGCTCATCCTGCTCTCTGCACCACACCCACTCCCAGGTCAGGATGTTTTGCTGACCATGGCTTGCTGTGCTGGCCAAGCTCCTCACACCCTTCCAAGCCCTCACAGGGGAATCACTGCTGGCTGGAAGGGTCAGGAGCCACCCAGGAGGGTTTGGGTTGACATGAGAAGGAGATGGCTGCAAACAGAGGAGTTGCTTGGAGACACAAGGCAGCTGAAGATAAACCAGCATCACCCAAACAGGACACAGCAGCTCACCCTGGGCTTGCTGGCCCTGAGGGAGGGCAGAGGTGTCTGCAGCCACTGCTGGATGCCACAGCAAGAGCTGCCCTTCCAGTTCCAGCCTGGCTTCTGGAGAAACACTTCTGCCCTCTCCCTGTGCCAAGAACAACCCCTGCTCACTGCTGGAGATCAGGATCCTCCTCACACACAGAGATATTGAGGCAGGTGGTGGGATGGGGCTTGCCCAGGAGCTGAGTGTGCCTCTTGTTTTTCAGATCAGCAATGTGAGCTTCTTTGTGCTGTCTCCTGCACTGCTGTACCTGAACCGGCAGTACTGCCAGAAGAAGGCTGTGCCCCTCTACTTTGTCTCAGGGCTGCTCCTCCTCGTAGGTGGGTACCAGCATTGTGGGAAGACCAGACAGGTTGCCAGACTACCCAGCATAAGACCTTTGGAGTGTCTCAGTGGCCAAAGCACAGGAAAAACTCAGGTGGGCAACCAAGCAGCCAGGTCTGTTTGAAGCCTGCAGCCCGTGGTTCCTGCCAGCTGTGGATATGCAGTTCCAGCCCTGTAAGCCCCATGGTGTGACTGGACCAACACAGTCCAGCCCCCTTGAACACCAAAATCCACACCCTACTCTTCAGGAATTGCGGATCTTGAGGAATGGTGGATCTTCAGGAACAGCCCTCAAGAATCTCCCATGGTTTGTGGGAAGATGGGGCTTTGTCATCTCAAGGTGCCCTTGCTCCTTGCAGGTGTCTTCTCCATGTACTTCCACATGACCCTGAGCTACGTGGGACAGCTCCTGGATGAGCTCTCCATCCTCTGGTCACTGGCTGTGGCTTATTCCTTCTGGTACCCACAGGCTTACTTCCCCAAGTGCATCAAGACCAGGTATGAGCCAGAGGGACACGGTGCAGGCTCTGAGGGGAGGGATGGGACACTGACACTGAGGTGTAGTGACCCACAGATCCCCCAGCTCCCCTGCAAAGGGTCAGCTCTGAGGTCACTGAAGGGCTTTAGGATCAGGCCCTCCTTCTTACGGTGCTGACAGAGGAAAAATCAAAACCCCCCTCTCAGCTGGAGCTGTTTGTATTTGTGTCGCTGCAGAGGAAACTTTGCATGGAGAATATCAAAATTAATTAGAAAACGTAACGCTCCTGAACATTAACATTCAATTACTCACACTGTCAATCTGTTCCAGCATCCTCTGTCATCCACAGAAAGCTTTCCCTCAAGGCTGAGGGGGTCTCCCATAGGACAATATGGTTCCACCCCTCATTTTAAAGAGGGCTGCTTGGGCTGGAGGAGCCCAGCAGAAATGTTGGGGCCACTGGGAGGACATGGACCAGCAGAAACGGGAACCCAGCAGGGCTTTACTCAGAGGATGTCCCTCCTGGCTGGAGCCCTCTGAGCCAGCCCAGTTCCTTGCAAAGACCTGCTCCAAATCTGCTCTGCCCATTCGGAACAGGAGGTCACCAGGAGTTCACCGAGGAGACACAGCTGGGGGACAGCAAGGGACTTGGGAAGGGATTTGCATGTGAAAGGCCCCTCTGAGCCCTATTGTTGCTCAGGGAGCCCAAACCGGTGTTTGCACAGTCCTGCCTGGCAGCCCTTCCCTGTGCAGAGCTCCCTGCCTGTGCCTCATTCCTGGCACCACCAGAAAAGTGCAGGAGCTGCCTCCTGGGCTGTGCCCCGGGTCTGTCACAGACCCACTGGGGGCTGCTGCCTCACCCTTCTGCCAGGACCCCACAGACACGGAGGTCAGCCACATGCAAACAGATTGGAGAAGATGGAGAAGCTTTGCCCCCCTCAGGACCTTTCCCATCTTTACCCTCCCCTCCTGTGAGCCCTGGGGGCACTGACACTCTCTCCCATTTCCCCTCAGGAGACATTTCTTCTGGCTGACTGGTATCACCACCGTGATCAGCACCTTAATGTCTTTCATCAAGCCCACCCTCAATGCCTACGTTCTCAACTGCATCGCCTTCCACCTGCTGTACCTGACCTGGAAGGAGCTCAAAAAGTAAGGAGGGGGCTCAGGGGTTACCTGCAGGTCCAGCTGTGCTCCTGTTGGGCAGTGACTCTGTCCTCAACAGTGAATTGAGCCCAAGTCTTCACCAGCCACATGTACTTGGGAGGGACCAGGCAGAGGCCCAGGCAGGACTGTGGGTAGTGGGGTACAAGCCTGGCCCAGGTGGCCACAGAGAATAGGGACAGTTGGTGGAGTCATCATCCCTGGAAGTTTTCAAAAACCCTGTGGATGTGGCATTTGAGAGCAGGGGTTTGTGCTGAACATGGTGGTGGTGCTGGGTTAATAGTTGGACATGATGATCTTAGAGGTCTTTTCCAACATTTACAGTTCGATGAGTCCGTGATTCTCCCCCTTGGCTGCCATCTCTGCAGCTCCTGCCCTTTTGTGGGGCATTTGGGAACTAGTGTGGGGATGGGAGAATGCACCAGCGTCTGGAGAGAAAGACAGGAGTGCTTTGGCATCTCCCAGCATCATCCTCACACCCAGAACATCAGAAATCCTCTCCCCAGAGCCATACTTCTCCAGTTCCTCTGGAATTCTGAGGAATACTCTCCAGAAGGAGCTAGCTGGGGTTTGCACAGCTGCATGTGCAGGCAGGAACCAGCCCTCTTTAAAACTCCCTTTCCTCCCAACATGATTACTCTGTTCCCTGTCCCTCGCTGTGTCTTCCAGGTGCAATGACAAGCGGGTTCACCGGATGGCCGCGGTCATGGTGATGTGGTGGGTACTGGCCATCACCAGCTGGATCAGTGACCGCTGGCTCTGCTGGCTCTGGCAGGCCATCAACTTCCCCTACTTCCACAGCTTCTGGTAAGGGCTCCAGGAACCCCAACCCAAACATTTCCTAGGCTGAAAGGTCCGCCGCAGAGAAATAGCTGAAATGAGACACTCATCTGCATTATTTCCCCACGCTCTCCCCCTTTCCTGTCACTATTGCTGCTTCTCCTCCTCAGCCCAAGGATTCAGCCCTAACCACTATTTAATGTCCCTCTCGTCCTCCACACCAGCCAAGCATTGTTTTGCAAGTGAAATTGTTCCAGAAGTCCCACCAGGTGGGCTCTCAAAGGGCTGTGGCTGCTCCCAGGGTGCTGTGTGAAGTACAATGTCCTAGGGGTTCTTTTAGCAGCCAAACTGAAAGGCAGGGCTTTGTTTGGACCTGACATTTCAGTGCCTGCCCAGGTGGGGCTGAAAGTGCTGCACACTGAGATGCATCCCCACCAAGCACTGGGATGGTTGGGACAGACAATGCAGCCAGGAAATGGGGAATGGCTGGAATGGGTCCCCTATGTCACCCCAGCCCTGCTGCACCAGGAATTGTCCCCAGCCCAGTTCACAGAACTCTGCCAGGATTTCCCTGTAGGCACAAACCCTGCAGGACAATCACTCCCTGCAGCCCTCATGGGACCTTTTGGAGGGTGCAGCCTCAGGCTGACCATGCCATGACCCTCTGTCCAACACGTTTTTGGTTTCCTTGGCAGGCACGTGCTGATAGCCATGTCCCTGCTGTACTGCTGCCCGCTGGTCATGTACTTCGACATCACCTACGAGATGCCCTCGTTCAAGCCAAAGCTGGAATATTGGCCCAGTGACTCGTGGCCCATTGTGGTGCCCTACATCGCTCTGGAGGAGCCCCACAAGCAGTGCTAGAGCTGGGTGCCCTCAGGCCTCCCTGGGGCATGGGGTGTGCGATGCTCACACGGGGAACATCTCGGTTGTGTTCCTCCTGTCCCTCAGGCAGGGGCAGTGTGGTAGTGGAAGGGGCAGGGAGCAGCTGAGGCCTCGTGATGCTGGACATGAAGCAAGGTGGGAGCCCACAGGTGCCTTGGAAGGTTCTGCCAAGACTGATGTTCAGGGAGCTGGAGATTTCCTCCAGCAGATCCCCACAATGCGGGGAGGGACGCACTGCTGCTTCTGTGTCCTCTGTGTTAGTCAAGCACCAGCACCCCTTGCTGACAAGGGCACAGCAGAGAACACTTAAGCCAAACTGGTGACAGCTGGGCTTGTTGGGGCTGCTCTAATTATTGTTATTATTAACTCTATTTATTGATGTATGTGGTCTTACTCAGGAGAGCTGTGCATTAAAGCTGTGGACACTGACTTATACTGAAGAATTTTTTTTCCTCTGACTGTACCACATCCTCTTATCTGATAGTCACTCCCATAGACAGGGTGGCCAAAGCTCTCTTCAACCCAGGGAGAGCTGTTCATAAAGAGAAGCCCTGGGTGAAAGCACAAAAGAGGCTCTGCTGGTCCAGATCCTGGGGTGACCTGCCCCAGGCTCTTCCTCTTCCTCAAACCCCAGTGGCCCATGTTCCTCCCCAGAGGCCACAAAGATAACTCAGAAACTCCTTTGCTTTCTGGAAGAGCTGTCTGGGGGCAGGATGGGGCAAGGAGCCAGGATGGTCAAAGCTGGCTGAAGGAGGGGATTGTCCCACTCTGCTCTGCCCTGGGGCAGCCTCACCTCCAGTGCTGGGGGCACTTTGGGCACCACAAGGTCAGAAGGAGCCAAAGCTGTTGGAGAGTGTCCCAAGGAGGGACACGGAGCTGGGGAAGGTCTGAGGAGCGGCTGAGGGCACTTGGCTCATTCAGCTGGAGCACAGGAGATGAGGGGAGGCTCCTCGGGGGCTGCAGCTCCTCCCGAGGGGAGGCAGAGGGGCAGGGGCTGAGCTCTGCTCTGGGACAGCTCCTGGAGCCCAGCGAGGGCTGGAGCTGTGCCAGGCCTTGGCATGGAGCTCAGGGAAAGGTTCTTCCCCCCGAGGGTGCTGGCACTGCCCAGGCTCCCCAGGGAATGGTCCCGGCCCCGAGGCTGCCAGAGCTGCAGGAGCGTTTGGACAGCGCTCTCAGGGCTGGGCAGGGTGGGGCTGTTGGGGGGTCTGGGCAGGGACAGGGGCTGGGCTGATGATCCCTGAGGGTCCCTCCCAGCTCAGGATATTCTGGGATTCTTTGATTCTATGACATTAGATAAAAATGTTATTACATTTGCAGGAACAAAGAGATGCAGAGCCTTAGAGAAAGGCACTGCTGTGCTTTTCAGGTTGTCCCTGCTTTTGCTCTCACAGCCATGGGACACTCTCCTGTTCCCTAGACCTCACTGCTCACAGTGACAAGCTGAGCCCTGTGGTGGGTCTGGGCACTGGCCCAGCCTGCAGGGACTGTCACTGGGGAGCACCAAGGCTGGCAGGCGACTGAGGCTGGCTCCCTGCAACACAGCCACACCAAAGCAATGTCACTCCAGAGACCATTTTCGAGCCCCTGCGAGTAAAGCAACAGCAGAACCTCTCTGGATTTTATCTCTGAGAATGACAGGCAATGCCTTCTACCGTGGCTGCGGCTGCCTTGTGGCTCCCTCTGCAATGGTCCCCAGGGCCACTAGATGGCAAATTTGGCTCATGAACCCCGAACAATATTTCTTCCTGGGAGACGAATGCCTTGCCATGGACTGGACTCCCAGGCCTGGTCCCTCTGTTCTCTCCATCCGCCAGCACAGGGGTCAGACAGCTCTCCTCCACCCCTCAGACACCTGCACAAGGTTCGGGGCACTGGGAACTCGCATCCCCAGCCTGTGCATGCCCCTCTCTGCCCGTCCTGGTGCCCATCCCGTGTATTTGCCTCTTTGTCTCCTCTGCATGCCACCACTCCCACTTCTCCCCTCATCACCCCGTCTCCCTTTCAGTGACCCTCCCTGCCGCTCTCCCCCCTCCTCACCCTTTCCCCGGCCCATCACATTCTTCCCCAGCCTATTAATAACTTCTGGGCAATTGCACCGGGTCCCCGCTGGGCCCGGCCCCGCCGCCGCCGCTGCCCCGCGCAGCCACTGAACGCGCCGGCAGCAAGTTCAAAAGTGCAGCGGGGCTTTCACAGCCCCGAGCCCCGTCAGGGGGTGGAGGAGGCCGCTTCCAAAGAAAAGGCGGCGTTGCCAGGGAGCCCCTGGCACAGGAAAAGGGGGTCACCTTCACCTCCGGCAGGACCCGCCGAGATGGACAGGCGCCAGCAGCCCCGCGGGCTGGGGATGCTGAGAGCGGCCGGGGGGATGAAGGGCTGGGCCGGGGCGAACGGGGCTAATTGGCCACCTCCGGCCACCGAGCCCCGGTGGGATGCTCGGCCCAGTGGCCAAATCCCCCCGTGCAGTATGGAAATAAGGGAGGTGTCCCCGGCGCTGCTGCCGGGAGAACAATGTTGCTGCAGTTGAGTGACTGTAACAGGCCCCGATGACAGCCGGGGCCGCGTTAAAAATGCCTATTCAAGCAGATCAAGACATTGAGAGGCCTCGTGGGGATCTGAAACCTTCAGGGATTTCTGGATGAGGCCAGAAGCTGAATCCCCAGCCCTGGGAACCTGCGGCAAGAAAAAAAAAAAAAAAAAAAAAAAAAAAAAAAAAAGGAAAAAAAAAAAAAAAAAGGAAAAAAAAAAAAAAAAAGAGAGAGAGAAGAGAAAAGAAAAGAAACCCACAAAGCAGCTTTAAAAGGGCGGCAGTGCCCGAGGCTGGGCCTCCTGCTCCGAGCAGAGCTGCAGCCTGAGAAAGCAAAGCAGCCCCAAAACCAGCCTGTGACGGTGGTCTGGGCATCCCCAGGGCTGCACAGGGTTATCTGAGGCTGGGTTTGCACCTCCAAAATGCCCCCGAGCTGCTGAGGATGCTCTGTCCTTCCTGCCAGGGAGCCACAGCTGCAGTCTGTGGAGCAGAGCTGACAAACACCCATAAAAGCTGTCAGGGGGACGAAGGGATGGCCAGAACAGAGAGTGGGGACCTGCTCAGGGGGTGAGAGGCTGCAGGACCCCTTCTCAACCTCCCTGTGGCCCAGGACCCTCAGCCATGTGGGTGTGACAAGAGTGACACCAGCTGAGTACAGGACAGGAGCACCTGCAAAGCCCCGTGCTCAGGGCGCCAAGCTGGGACTGGCCAAAGAGAAACCTCTCATTAATTTTGCCACATTATGTCCCTGCTTTTGTTCTCCACGTGGCTGCATAAACCACAAAAAAGAGAGGCAAGAGAAGGAGTGGGAATGAGGAAGAGGATGGAGGCTGCTCCTGTCAGCTGATGCCAGATTAGAGGTTGGGAAACAACAGCATCTATTTGGTGCAATTGCAAAACAAATGAAAGAAAAACCTTGATAAGGCACCAGTCCTGCAGCATCAAGGATTAACATTTACCTGTTCTGCTGCACCAGTTGCCTCCCGCTGTTTCAGATTCCCAGGATTTGGCTGGCAGACTGGAAACTTTTCAAGGCAGGGTGATTTATTTGTAAAAGATATTGCACATTCAAGGAGACCTGCATAAATAATGCAAAAGTAATTAATAATAACTCAGTCCCTGCTCTTAACAGTGCCAGGAAAAGAAATTGCTTCACTGGAGTGTCACTTATGCCTTTTGGAAAAGATCTTTATTTGTAAAGTATCTCAGAGTGAAAGGACAGGATAGTTCTGAAACAGGGTCACAAAGTCCTGGGATTTTAGTGCCAGCCCGGCAATCTTCAGGATTGATTTAAAGAACCTTCTGCTGGAGTTAGGTGAAACCAACATTGGCTCAGCTTTGATTTTATATTTAGTTTTCATCTCCCATGTCTGCAGTCAAAAGTTTGAAACCACGAACACAAAGGGCTGAGAAACCCAGGAAGGAAAGAGATAAGCTCCAAGAATTATTACTTTTAAAAGTATTGTCCTTTCAACTCTCAGTGTAACTTTTGAGATTTGACAGAGGATTTCCCACTCAGGGTCTGGCAGTCCTGTCCCACCCATTT